TGCTGGAAAATTAACAAGCATTTCTTTAAGTTTCTAACATACACAGAACTGTTCTGATACAGTGCTAATGTGAGTTCCCCACCCTATTACATTGTACTGCAAATTTCTAAAGGATCCTACTAAAGTGAAGGAGGTTAGTGAGGTACTATGCTTTTTTCATCATTACTGGAATTCCCATATGTGTATTCTTTATAAATTGATGAAACAGAGGCTGCTGGTTGCCCCACTTCCCCAGGCTGCAGTTCTGTTTTATTTTTTATTTTTTTTCTTCCTTGAGACAAAGTCTTGCTCTGTCGCCCAGGCTGGAGTGCAATGGTATGAGTTCAGCTCACCTCAACCTCTGCCTCCCAAGTTCGAGCAATTCTCCTACCTCAGCCTCCTCAGTAGCTGGGATTATAGGCACACACCACCATGCACAGCTAATTTTTGTATTTTTAGTAGAGATAGGGTTTCACCATATTGGCCAGGCTGGTCTCGAATTCCTGACCTCGTGATCCACCCACCTCGGCCTCCCAAAGTGCTGGGATTACAGGCATGAGCCACCACGCCCAGCCTCTTCTTTCTTTAGAACAGAACACTGATTTTGAACTGGGCACACTGCTGGTAATAAATTATGTTTCCTACTTTCCTTTGAAGTATGGTTTGGTCATGTGATTAAGTTCTTATCAATGAGATGCAAGAGAGAGAAATAGGGTTGAAAAGAGCTTCCAGGAAGGTTGTCTAAAAAGAGTCAACCCAGTTAAGAAGACCTTTTTCTGTCACTTTTCTTTTGCCTGCAATGACTGACACTCCTGAAGCCATCTCGATCTATGAGGATGTAAACCCTCCATTCACATGGTGTTGAAGAAGGAAAGGGTCCTGAGACCCCAGTGATACTGGAGAACCGCCATTCCAGCCTTGGCCAGCCTTAAGCTTCTTTTATGTGAGAAAGAAAAAACTTCTGTCTTGTTGAAGATATTCCTATTTGTTTCCGAAAACAGTCTATTTAAAGCCGGGTGTGGTGGCTCACTCCTGTAATCTCAGCACTTTGGGAGGCCAAGGCAGGTAGATTACTTGGGCTCAGGAGTTTGAGACCAGCCTGGGCAACAGGGCAAAACCCCATCTCTACTATATAAACAAAAATTAGCCAGGTGTGGTGGTACACGCCTGTAATCCCAGCTACTTGGGTGGCTGAGGCAGGAGAATCGCTTGAACCCAGGAGGCAGAGGCTGCAGTGAGCCAAGATCGCACCACTGCACTCCCACTTGGGCAACAGTGTGAGACCTTGTCTCAGGAAACAAAACAAAACGAAACAAAACATTTGTTTTAAAATGAAATGTTAATTACCAAAAATGTAAAAATCAGTATTACAATGAACAAATAGATAATTATGAAAATAGATTAAATTTAGCTATATATTCTTGCCTATCTATAATGTATCGATCAGCTAAGGATAGAAGCTTTAAAGAGATACTAGCCCTTAAAAGAGATGAACTTCTCTTCAATCAAGTCTTGCTGGAGAACTTAAATAAATGTAAGTTTTGTCATTCAAGTATATTTAACCTCATTTCTACGTTAACACCTAAAATCATTTACATATCAACTGTGGTGAGTTTTGGGAAACACTTATCTATGGAGAGAACTACAAGGAAATGATAATATGTGGCTTTTGTTACATATTTATCTAAGTTAACATAGGAGTATAGTGAGCAAGATTCTGAAAATGCAAAATGCAATTTGATGGACACAGCATAATTGGTTATCCTGCAGGCAATGCTTAGTCAAAACAGATCTGATAGCTGTGATAGCATTCATAAATTCATATTGTTATGATCACATTCTCAGCAACCTAACTTCTTCAAACAGGGAAGGATGCATTTCAACTTAGATAAGAGATCTTTCCTCACTCCTGGTGAGTTCACCACTAGCACAAAAGTCTCTCCTTAATCCATAAAATTAAACCTGTCACAGTGACTTAACTTCATTAACGCAACTTCTTGATCCATGGCAAATTATTAGCAATACCAAATCTATGACTCTCAAGCTAATTAAGACTGCTTCTTTTGCATGATGATGATCAGATTCTGACTTTTAAGAATAACTGGAAAACATTCAAAGAAGGTAGGAGGAAATTATAAAGCAAAACAGCTTCTGAAGCAAAACCTACTAATATTATTAAAACGTCTACTCTATAATACATTTTCCAATTATCCTTAAGAAAAACACATCTCATCGCAGTCCATCACTATCTGTAATCATGGAGCATGATTTTTCTTTAATTCTCCAAAGGCAGAAAGAAGTAAAATGAACAGTTTTAAGGCTAGGATAAAAGTTGAATATAGGAATGAATACATCATATTTTTAAAATCTCTATTTTAGTCGCAGATGTCTTATGAAATAGGTAATACATGCACACAGCAAAAAAAAAAAAAAAAAATCAAACAGTTCAAATGGTTCACTGTAAAAAACAATTTACATTCAGCCTTTTCCCCCAGCTTCCCAGTTGTCTCCGTAGAAATCGCAGTTGCCAGTCCTTTGTGTAGACTTCTTGGGACATAGTCTGCTCACAAAAGTACCCTTCTCTGGGTTTCCCCAAATGCTGCCTCACTATACATGCAGCTATGCACCTTACCTTTTGAACAAGTATACAGAAAACCACTAAATATGTGTGCATACAGATTTGTATCATAATACATATATACTAGAGATATGGTCTAATTCTACAACAAATTATCAAATTGAACAAATATTTATAGACAGCCCACTGTGTGCCAGACACTACTGTATGGGCTGGAGCATAGCTGGAAAAAGACCTGCTCCCAAAGCTACAAGACTTCCATTCTAGAGCTTCCTCATTAAGCAGAGCCTTCCTAGCTGCCGTGTAAAATCCCTACATCAACACATATGTCTATCAACAAAAACCTGTAAAATGTACATCTATATGCATGCATGCATTTGCATATCTATATCACATATATATGTTCTATATGCTTATATGCTGTATGCATGTACACACATATAACATATTGTGCATGTGTGTATCTGTACGTGTATAAGCTTTTTCCATCATCCAGACCCATAGTATGAGGAAACATATCCTGGCCTCCAGAAGACAAGAAGAAAAAAGATAAAAAAGGAAACAGAAAACTGGCATCAGAATCCACAAAGAGATAAGGAATGGTCTTCATTTAGAATGAAGAATTAGGGCTTTTAAAAGAAGAGCTTTATATTCTATTCAGGGTACTTGTTTCTTAAAGAAGATACTGACACAGATGAAAAAAAAAATGGCAAACACCATGCATTTCTGCATTTGGATGTGCTCTGAATGTGCTGAGATTCTGGAAGCCTCTGGAAATATAAAAAGGCAGCTGACATTTCAATGGGAAGGAGGTACCACTGGGTCACCCATGCTCTCTCTCCGTGTCCAAGATGAACTGAACTATTTGTCAGAAATTAACAATAAAAAAGGCATAAATATTTTCTAACGGTTCAACGCCCTCAGCCTCTCATAGACAAGACTAACTACTGCTTCTACTAATATATAAAAAGAGATGGCAAAAGAAATCACAAGAGAAAATAAAAGTTCATTGGTTGAGATTCTTCCCCCTAAATTTATTCTTTTCTTCTGATAAAGAATAAACACATCTATTCATCCACCCTCTCATCCATCCACCTGTTCATCCATCCATTTGCCCATCCATCTATCCATTCATCCATCCATCTACCCATCCGTCCACCCATGTGTCCATCTATCCCAATTTTTGCTAACTACAAAACACAAAATAAATCTTTTATTGAGATAGCACCTTATTTCCAAATTATACTACTGGCACAGACGTGTTTCAACGTGTGTATCTGTAAGTTCATCCAGGTCACCAGTTTGGCACACTATCACTACAGAAACATATCACTACATAAATATCTAGGACTGAACTCAAATACAGATTTTCTCTTTTCCCTCTCATTTGCTGTACAAGCAAATCTTCAAGAATAAAAAGGAACGGCCCAAACGAGAGCTGCTGATAATCCAAATTCCTAAAAACCAACATTGAGCAAAGAAGCACAGAAAGGAATCCAGATCAAATCATCCCCACATTGGTCTCAAATGCTCCTTGGTAATAAGCCAAAAAAAATCATAATAGTTGTCAGCTCAGATTCATGAGCTCCCTGCTAGAATAAATAATAAAAAATAAGAATATTTTCCAAACACTGAGCTATGAAGTTTAAAAATGCACTCCAGAAATAATGCATGGCATACCGGAATTCTTCCTTTCGTTATTGTTGAAATTTTCAATAGTATCATGAGCATAAAGCAACATACAGGTGACAAAAATATGTGACCAGACTAGGAAATCCCCTGAGCCACAAATGAGATTTCAGGAAAGTGCAATCAAACAAGAACGACTGAGTTTCAAGCCTCCCTTTGCCCAGCTGTGAATTGATTGTTTCTAATTTGGTGGCTATCAGAGACAGATTCAGGTTTTAATTTCTCCCTAGAGTAATCCACAATTCCCTGCAATTCTACCGCAGATAGTTCACTGTACCATCAGAAAATGCCTGCCCATGGATACAATCACATGCATTATATTTAAATATACACTGCAAACGTGGAATGCACTCATGTGAAGAGAGATGTATAGGCTGTGGTTTCTAACACTTGCAAAATGGGCCGTTTTATGAGACATGCAGAGTTTCAGTTCATCCAATAACATGGACTAGAAAGAGGTCATGTTGAAGAGGAACATGGTTTGTGGATCAATTCCATCTGCAGGGTGCAGTCCTTGCAGGTGACACGGTGCTCTGCTGGGGTGTTAAGTAGGTCCGCTGTGAAGAATAACCCATCTTTCCCAAATGAAGGCTTCCATTCATCTTACCTGGAGGCCCTGATAGAATAGATGACACACACCAAATGCAAACCACAGTGGAAATGGTTGTTCGCAATCCAGGAAAAGAAAAAAAAAAAAAAAAAGAGGCCACATTTGCAGCTGATCTGAATATATTGGAGGCCAGCTGGGACTCACCTGGTTTCCGAGCCAGCCGATTTCTTCTGACAAACGATGACAGCTGGTGCATACTTTCCAGTATAATCCGTGCGCTCCCTGACATCCCAAATGGAAGGGCTGCTGGCTCGCACACCGATGATGTTCACGCCTTTCTTCACCTTTGCCCTGTTGGAGACAGCACGTGTGGGTCTGAGTCAGCTCTGGGGAATCCCCGGGTCATGCTGGTTCTGGGAACACGGGGAGCTTAATTGCTCACCGTTGCCTTGCAGGTGTAAGCTCATGTATACTAGGATTTAAACACAAATTTGCAGTCGCCTTCCAATCCATCTGTCCTAATTTCTTTCCATTTTTCCTGCCTTTAATAAAGAGCTAGAGATGGTATATGGATAGCCAGCAAACATTAGTTACAGAAAGAAACAGAATATCGTTGCACTAGCTTGTGTCTTTAAATAAAGCCAAAGCCAGACACAAGCACAAAACTACCTGAAACCCCTTAGCCTGGCCAAACTCAATAGAAAAAGGCAACTAAAGTGCAAAAGTAAAGATTGAAATAAGAACACACATTCACTGAATGTATCCCAGTGCCAGGCACTGATGGACATTTTGTCCCTATTACCTACTCTTCCTAGCAAGGTTCCAAGCCCAAAATGAGGCTGAGGTTCAGATAGGCGAGGGAATAATGATTCCCTCAAGTGATCCACCTGCCTCAGCCTCCCAAAGTGGGAGCTACTTTGCCCAGCCCTGTTAACTTTTTATAATCTTGTCTTCTTACTGTATGCTTTCCATTCTATATGTTCTTTCCAACTCAAGTTTCTAAAAGAAACACAGAATAATGAAACCCCATCTCGACTAAAAATACAGAAATCATTTGAGGGTGGTGGTGTTCTCCTGTAGTCCTAGCTACTTGGGAGGCTGAGATGGGAGGATCACTCGAGCCTGGGAGGCGGAGGCTGCAGTGAGCTGAGATCGACCCACAGCACTCCAGCTTGGGTGACAGAGTGAGATCCTGCCTCAAAAGAAAAATAATAATAAATAAAATATAAAATAAAATGCAAACGGTTTGATTTTTGTTTACAAGCTGGCCTAGAAGTTTGAAAAAGATAATGCTTCCTGCTGTGTTTTCTCTTAGTCCTTCAGTGGAAAATAGGAAAAGTCTTGAAGCAAAAGTACCAAGGGGAACCTGGAGCACATTGATGGTACCTGGGCAGAAGAGGACGGTGGGGGCGGCCTACGTGGAGTTCCTCCAGACTCGTAATCACTGTGCCTACACAAACATGCAGACAAGGCAATGGTGCCACAGCCTAGACCTCAGAACCCCTCTCTGCCATGACAGAGGAGAAAGTGAGACCACCTCCTGCTATTAATATTAGGGACAAAAGGTGAGGAGGAGATGACAGTCGTAGGACCAGGGCTTCGAGAAAAAGCAGGACATGTCTGTCCCTAACACCGAGAACAGTATTTCCCATGGAAACAGTTTTAAAATGTAGTGTGCAGGAAAGACCTGAGGCCGCAGGCTTGAGACAGCCCTCCTTAGGAAAGCCCGCTTGCAAGCGTGGCTGGGAACTTGGATTTGGGGAGAGTTCCCTCCCTTTTCATGGTCAGAGGGGCTCACGCTGCCTAGACTGGACAAACGAGGTGGTTTATGCTGGACATTTTCTTATCTTCTGGGAGCGTAGAATTTTGGTATGTGCCAGGCAGAGGGTGCCCCCATGAGCAGTCCCCCAGTGAAAACCCCGAACTCCTGGGCTCAGGTGAGCTCCCCTGGCAGTGGTGTCCCAGCTATGTGCTGGAGGAATTGGAGGAATTAAGTGCATCCTGCATGACTCCACGGGGAGAAGATTCCTGGGAGCGTGAGCCTGGTCTCCTCCCCTGTGCCTTTTCCCCCTGCAGACTGTGCTTTGTGTTCCTTGGCTAATACATCAGAGCAGTGATTCTCACCACATGCTGAGTCCTATCCGTTCCAGCGACTCGTTGGACCTGGGGGTGGTCTTAGGAACCCCTAGCACACATACTGATTTGGCTAGTCCACAAAGAGAGCAAGAATTGCTTCTGAGGTGTGGCCCTACTGCAAAAGTTCGCATTTTTAGAAGACAATCATCATGTATAACATTATTTCTATAGGGGAAAATACATATTTTATGTTTTAAATAATCATTGTGCATGGAAACACTTTGAATGCAGTCGTTTAAAAATTGGGAATTGCATGCAGATGCCAAAAAGCCATCTGACCTTTCTGGATACTCAGGTGAGACACTCAGCGAATAGTTACGATTCCTGCCTTGCAGAAACTCATTTAAATTGTAGGCAACCAAGACGTGGTAGCGAACAAAAGTGCAATCCGCTGTGGACAGCTACTATTATATTAAGATGAATTCTAAAGGCTGTCCCAATTACTCTGCAGTGGAATTTTATTGAATCAACATTGCTTTAAATAAATAGGTCATCAACCTGGCTGTGACAACCTTTTCATTATACAGGAGATACCAGCACATAGGCCTTTTCTGATATATAATGGGCTTATATGTTTTTCTGAAATTTTATTCATAAGCAGGCTATTTGGAATTCAGACGATGTTTCTCCAATGAATCCTTTTCAAGTGCTTAAGAAAGGACACGGTGGCTTGTTTAACCCATGGAGTATCCAGCATTTGTTGCTAATAATTCTACAGTAGCAAATGAAGCTATCATCGGTAGCATTATTTCTGCACAAACGTTTTTTCCTAGAATTTTATACAGGACACTGGGAATTGTCTTTCAGAGACCCAGAGCATTTTCATAAGAGAAGACACATTTCTAGGGCATGTTTTAGATGTTCGGAATTGGAGAAGGCATACTCACTCAAGAAGTATCCTTGTGTGTGAATATCAAGTAAAATGCATGCAATAAACCGGACAGTCATTCTTCGGAGATGTAGACACGGTATTTACTGAACACAGTGTGTGTTGGGTTAATAATTTTGAAGCACGAATCTCAGAGCTGTCAGTGGCACCATTTGGAACCACTCAAGTAGTTCCTAGAACACATGCCACGGGGCTCCACTGGGTCCGAACCGAATGCTGGTTTCTCCCGTTATGACAACTGAGTTACCTACATTCATTAATGGAAGTGTTATAACCTACTTGTGGTTCAATAAATACAGGTTACCCTGACAGCCTCATTACACAGAGATAAACACAGCACTTGATTTCTGAAGATAATTTGCTGTAGATTTATTCCTAATAATATATCTACCATGGTGATGGGGGAAAGCCATAATTTTCCCCATAGTATGCACATGCACTGTGACTGGGTATCAACAAAACCTGCCTGGGGTTAAGGGTATATTGTGTTTTTAAAACATAATAGAACTGCAGGGACTGTGTATATTTTATATACATATATATATAAATATATATGTAATGTGTATATACATATATGTATACATAATGTGGAATATGTATATATTATAAACACACACACGCACAGTTTCAAGTACAGCATCCAGGGTTCAGAAATGTGGTGCGCAGTTGTTGCTTTTGCTCCCCCTACCCAATCTCCCCTTTCCTGGGTAGCAGCATCTTGATTTCGCTTATATGACCCACCCCTCTGCCATTGTATACCACCATGGTGGACTTGTAAGTCGAGTTTCTCCCTCCAACCCTGGACAAGAGGTGGACACATGACCTAAGCCAGTCCAGCTGAATGATTCTCTCTGGAATATAATCTTGAACAAAGAGACACAGCAAATAAAAAAGGTTGGGGGAAATTCACCCAGCCTTGTAGCTCTGGTACAACTGTCTATTACTTCCTTCTCTCTGGTTTGCAGGAATTAACACAGCTAACATTTCTGAATCTGGTTCTCAGCCTTTCCTTTAGGCATATAGATATTCCCCATCCTCCCATCTAGTCCCTTCTTGTTTAACGTAGCCTGAGTTATTTATGATCATTTCCAATTATATAACAAGGGGAGGCTAAGATTCAGTGACTTCCAGAACAAGGAAGTGTATTTCCTCCTCCTGTGAACATCCATGGCTGGTAACCCAGGTTGTTGGGTGGCTCTATTCCACTCAGTCATTCGGGGATCAAGGCTGAAGGCATCTCTACTGTTTTTAATCTATAACTTCTAAAGTCTCTGTGCTCATGACCATTCCAGCCAAGGGGAAGAGGGAAGAGCAGTAGACCAGAGCCAGGGATTTCCTCTTAAGCAGATGAGGTGGGCACTGCATGCCCAAATTCACTCACCTTCCATTGCAAGGAGCCTAGTCTCATGGCCACACAAGGCTGCAAGACCAGCGAGTGCTGGGAAGTCAGTCTTTACCTGGACAGCCACATCCTCACTGTGGCCCTGTCACTATGGTGGAAAAACAGATGGGTTTGGGTGGAGGATTTGCATCTCCCTTCACCACAACCACCAGGGGACTCCAACTGATGGGAGGTGTCAGCCTCCTAAAGACTATAAATTTGAGTTCATTCTCCAAATCACTGTATGCAGAGACTTAGGCTGAAGGCAACATTGCCCCAAAGAGAAACTCCCTACTTACACAATCTTGTCAGTGGAAGTGTTCTTAATATGCAACCTGAATACAGGCATATTCATTTATGAATGTCACACTGGGGCTACTGAACTAATACAAATGTGTGCTATAAAGAATGCATAGGGACAGAAAGCAGATTGATGAGATAAAAGTGGGATAAAGGGGAATTTCAGTGTTTTGTTTGTTGGCAGATTTATTTAAGATGTGTGTGTGTGTGTGTATGTGTGTGTGTGTGTGTGTGTGTGTGATATTAGAAAAAAATGAAAGAGGAAGAGAGAGCAAAGAGAAAGGAAGGGGGATGGGGAGAGAAGTTTTGCTATATAGGGTTCAAAGCCCAAGAAGAGAAATTTGGATTGTGTGTAAGTCTCAGGCTATTTGTTCATAATGAACGTAGTCCTGTTAGAAACTATTACTGGCTAATCAGCTATCCGCAGGCTAATATTGGCCTTAATCAATAACTGACTGTAGAATTCCAGGGAATTGGAGGAAGGAAGACAGGAAGAGATCCAAACTTCTGGACTGCTTCTCTCACTTCTGAAATGAAAGATTTGTCTACATGTTTCTCCCCCAGAGATTCATGTGGCCACATAGTCTCTGAGTAGATCAAATCCTGGTAAAACCTGGTATCTCCATTTTTGAGTCCCATATAGGC